TATTTTTATATTATATTTATATATAATATATTAAATATTATATATTAATATTATATATTATAAAATATATTATAATAAAATTACTAATATAAATAAGTTACTATATATATATAATAACATACTATATAGTATATTATATATATATTTTATTATTTATATATATATATGTGAGTGATTATCAATGTTAAGTATAAAGAACAATATACAAGATTGTGATAAGAAAAAGAACAAGAAGAACAAGAAGAAGTGAAATGTGCTTAAAAAATGGCGAATGCATGTATTATACATTCGTGATAATAGAATCCTGTAGAAAATATTCCATTAGAGGACCTCGACAATAAATTAATTTGAAATTTTGTTTATGAAAGCCAGGATTCAAAAAAAAAAAAAAATGAGATAAAAAAACCATTAGTGTACTCGTGTGTTTGTGTTAGAGTTCTCTTTTTGACAAAAAGAATACTGTCTGTAAAAAATCATTTAGTGTGCTTTGATAGTAAAATTGTGAATTTATGAAAGAAAGAGGACCTTAGAGAGAGTCAAAGTGAAAGAGAGAAAGAGAGAGAGAAAGAGAGACAGAGAGAGATGTTTACAGGTCTTATACAAACTGTTATAAAGCAGATAGATATATATATATAATCCTTTTCATGCAGTGTGTTTTATTTTTTATGTCCACGGTTAACACAATATATGACTCTGGAAAAGAAAGAATCATAATAATGAATGAAATTATTTAAACAAAATGATTAAACAATCGTCTGACAACATTTCGAAACAAACACAAAATTTACGAACTTTGATTAATTCGATAAATATATATATATTTTTTTTTTTTTATTTATAATCATAATATATATATGTATGCAATGTACGTATGTATAATGATCGGAATGATTTAATGAACAAAAAATTAAAAAAAAATAAATAAAAGGAACAGCTTACCACTTTGTCTTGATCGAATATTTCGATGACTATCGATGGTGGATCCTTTTTAATTTCTTCAGCTGTACCATAAATTAAAATGTCATCGAATAAAAGTAATTCGTCCCATGTTGGGCTCAATGTTTCATCAATTACTTGTGTTGATTTACAAAATTCACCGCATATTACACGTGCGAATGGATCCGATAAACCGGATGCATCGCTACCGATCAACGATCTTGCTTGATACATGTGTGCTCTTAATTGAAATTTCTATCAACATAAAATACAATGATTTTTTAATAAAACAAAAAAAAATAATAAATAAATAAATAAATATAAATGTACATGTGTACATATGTATATAAAAGAAAATATATAAAATAAATACAAAAATATATAAAAATAAAATATATATATAAAATAAATTATATAAAATAAATACAAAAATATATAAAAATAAAATATAT